TGGTCCCCCATGTGATGACCCTGTTGTTTCTCTCTTGGTTCCCGAATTCCAGGAGCCTGAGAGCCACTGTCATACAAAACCAGTTCCACCCCCACCTCACTCTTGAGGCCTCCCCTGGTTATGCAGGACTCACTTTATCTTTCTGTGAAAAAAAAGTATCAGTTTGGATATTTTCCCTCTAAAATCGTAGTGTAGAGTCACAACAATTAATAATTTTTAAAACTTGCAAAGAACAGAAAACTGCTATAGTTCTCCTTCTCAGAGAAAATAAACTTAATCTGAAAGAGAGCCTTTGTTTGCATTTTTGGAGACTATCACTTAAGTTTTAACAAAAATAGAGTTATTTTATAGGGCTATTTGGTTAAGTGGGGCCCTCTCTAGTTCACGGGGAGTTCTCTGTGCTCAGCTGTCTGAGCCTCGCCGCTCACCGCCACTTTTACTGCCTCCTGTGGCTCCTGGGCATTCCGGAGTCTCGGCCCATCTTCCCACCTGGAGCGAAACCCTCGGGGCCAGGGCTGCTCCGTGAGCACCAGCCGGCCTCCTCTACCGGCCCAGCTCAACCTCTTGCCCCTCGTACTGTTCACTCAGTACTGGATGGGTCCGCCAGCCTCTAATCCCTGCTCTCCCTTGCTCTTTACAGTTGTGGGCACCAGGATTCGGCTACGTGAGATGCGAGAGGAGTGCCATTATTTGTTCTGAAGGTCTTTACAAGCACAAGGCATCTCTAAAGTGGCTATAAATAATTTATATTGTCCATAACTCAAGCTGATCAAAATAGACCTCATCACCGTGATGCGGCAAAATCTGGTCCAAGCTGCCTTTCTGCTGCCTCCAACCCAATGATCCGGATGGAGCAGATGAAACTCGGACTAGACGCCCTCTGAATAGGATTAAGGCCCCTGGGCAGTCACATGGATCACAATCTGCCTGCGATTAGACATCGGATAATCCCGCCGGAGGGGAGCTGACAACCGGAATTCTATTACCTCACTTAGTATCTATTTTTGGAACCTGCTGGTGGCTACAGCCTCCAGAAGACGTTTTCCAGTGAAAGAGGATCCTTTAAAGGTTCCTTTGAAAAATGGTTGCTCGATGGACTTTGATTACAGCCAAGCATTTGAAGCCTTTCATAATTCCAATTTGTTCCAAGAGGACAAATACACAAAATAGGACATGAGTGTGTTGGTCCTTGTCGTGAAGAAAAAAAACACACACACACACACACATTCTAGCTCCTTATGAATGTGTGTCGGAAAGAATAAAAGATATCCTTCTAAATCTTTAAGATATTATGACAACTTTATGAAGATGCTTCCTCACATTTGAGAATACATAACGATAAACCATTTTTCACTCGTTTCAGTATGGAAAAGGCAAGTATCTGTGACTAGTAAAGGGGCTGTAACCAGCTCCAAAGTCTGCAAAACCTAAACCGGCAACACATCCGCACATCTCTGCAGATGGAGGAGCTGCCAGACCACTGAGAACCACTCCCAGGTCAGCAGGCCAGCTGGGCTTCCACCTTCCGGAAACACCAGGAAGATGCAAGTTTCCCAGAAGCCACCAGGCACAGCTCCTTCCCACGGCCCCTCCCCTCCCAAGATCCAGGCCTGGTGGGTTACCCTGGCAGCTCCCTCCAGCATGGGATTGAGAAGAAACAAAGGCCCCCATACGGTACAAGTGGGGGTGGGGGAGGCAGGCAAGGGGTCATTTCGGCGCCCCTGTGAAGTGGCCCTGCTGCCCCCCCTGTAGGCAGTGGGTTTCTCACTGCAGATGGATGCTGACACACGCCCACTGCAAGTGAAGTGACAAACAGGGGCCAGCAGGGCCGTTCCCGCCTGGACAGACTGAAGGAGCACCAGTTCGTAACTGGTCTCATGGACTGGTGGGTGTGAGTCTCAGCCCCCCTCTTAGCAGTTGTACTGATCTGTGATTGGTTTTGGTTTATTAGTCTCTGGGATGCTCGAGGGGCGGGGCCGGTCTGTGGGCACGTTGCCTGTGCTGTAAGGGAGCTGGTCCGCGATGGCTCAGCCCAGGGCCCAGCCTGCAGCAGGTGCTCAGTGCCTGTCAGGGCCCGGCAGTGCACTGGCTACCTGTTTGCCCAAAGGGAGTTAGGTGGGGGTCGGCAAGAGTGCCTGGGGGACAGCAGGGCCTTGGATATCCGCTGGCCTGGAGGCTGACCCACCTGCCAAGCTCCTTCCTCTTCCCAGGCCTCAGCTGCTTTCTCTGAAACGTGGTGCCTCCCCCCCACCCCCCCAATACTCTGGCAAGTGTTGATGTGAATGCCCAAGCCCCTTATGGTTTGTTCAATACAACACTTCCAACTTCCCCACAGAAAAGTCGGGGCCAGGGGTGTCAGGCAGCGGGGAGATGGGGCAGGAGCCAGAGGAGAGGCCTGGTGCCCCCGTCCCCAGGGACTCCGGCAGGAAAGCCCTGCTCTGGGCCCAGGCACCTGGGTTCCAGCTCCATCTCTGCCACTTACATGCTGGGGCACAGGTCACTGGACCTCTGCTTTCTTTCTGATACTCGTGGTGAGTATTCGTGCAGCAGCTCCCTCTGTGAGGGGCCTGTGTCCTGCCTGTGTGGTGCCTGTGGCATCCCATCTGGGAGCGCCCCAGAGGTGAGGCGGGGTGTAAGGACTCCTCAGGCAGGCTCTGGAGACAGAGAGTGCGATTCGAATCCTGGCTCCACTAGCAATGTTACCTATGACAAACTACTTAACTTCTCCCAGCCTCAGTTTTCTCATCTGTGAAATAGGGATACCTTTAACAGCAACTTCTTGCTAGAATTGTTGAGGATAAGGACAGCCGTATGTGTGAAGGTGGCCCCAGTAGAGTCCAGTACGTTAGAAATGATGATGATGATGATGATGATGACGATGATGAGCACCTAGGTTACGTCCCGCGTTCCTCCCCACACAGGTGATTCCACGAAAAACAGGAGAGAAAACAGCTCCGTGCAGGCGGAGGTCTCCTGGGTGGGTAAGAACGGGAAGGGGCGCCTGTGTGCGGGTGTGGGTGCGCGCTTGCAGCCGAAGGAGTTGCCTGGGCCCGGGTACACACAGGCACCGCCCACAGCAAAGGCACCGCGCACAGAGAGGCCCCCAACCTGAAGATACAGCCAGAAGGATGGTTCGCGCACTCAACTACGTGCCAGATTTTGTTGTAAACCTTGTCCAGAGAATAGTTTAATTCTCACAATAGCTATTGTGAGAGGTAGCTATTAATCTTATCCCCCATTTTACAGATGAAGACACTGAGGAACAGAGAAGTAAAGTAATGAGCCCGCGGTCACAGTGGCCTGGCGCAGACACCCCCACAGATGCCCGCCTCTCTCTCAACCTCGCAGCATCCTCCCCACCCCCAGCCTGCCGCAACACATTCATCATGAGCGCCAGTGGCCAAAGACGCAAGAAAAGGCCTGTTTTGGCACCGCGCTGGGACGCTGTGCGGAAGAACCGGACCCTGAAGAAGCCCAGACGCTGCAAAGGCGGTGGCGGTGCTCAAAGCCCCGGGAGACCACGGACCGAGCGGCCCGGAGCGCGGGCGCGTGGGCGCTCGCCCACTGTGCCGCGGGTCGCCACGGAGCAGAGATTTCTGTGCGCACCGAGGCCTGGCCCCGGCTCTCCGCAAAGCCTCTCCCCGCGCCGTTGGCCGCAGCCATGCCCGGCGCGCGGCCCGGAGCTCGGGGCCAGGCCGCCTTAGGTGTTTAGCACAAGGGCTGAGGGGCCCGCAGAGACCGGGGCCCGGCTGCGGGATCCGAGGGCGATGGTCCGTCACCTGGCGCTCACAGCGCCGCGTCCCGGCGCGCACCAAGTCCGCGCATCCCTTTTAGGAGGAAAAAAACCCGCCACCGCGGGCCAGTCTTCATAATTCATGGGCTCTCTGCGAACACTCCCAAACGGAACCCACGGCCGCGTCTTTGGAAGAAGGAAACGCCTGGACTCCGCAGCGAAGTCGCGGGCTTTCTGAGGAAGGACGGCCCGCGGCGCCGTCAGTGAATTACCCGGCGCCCCGCAACTGTTCTCGATCACTTGCTTTTACGTTGGTTTGTGAAGTGAAACAGAAGAGTCTGTAAAAATCGTTAGTTCTGGAAGTGGGAAACGCACCCGACCCCAGCGTTATTTCCAGAAGGAGCTGTGCTGTGGGGGGTGGGGGCGAGGATGGAGGGAGTCAGTGTCAAAACACCACCCCACCCCTCCCCGAAGAGAAACCGCCCCTCGAGGCTGGAATAGGACCCGGGAGCGTCTTCGGTCCGACGCGCCTGCGTCCCCACCCAGTGCTCCGGCTTGGAGAAGTTTCCCCCCGGCGGCCGGCGGGGAGTCGGAGTTTACCCATGCTCCTCCTCTGCCCGCAGCCCCTGCCCCGCGGTGGCTCTCGGCCCTCCCTCGGCGCCCCGGACCCCGAGAACAAAGGAGCAGGAGAGGGGGAAGGTGACCCGCAGGACCGCGGGGGTCCTGCCCAAGCACACCGCTCTTTTCCCCAGCGCTGGTCCCGAAAAAGTGGGTTTTTAATTCTTATTTTATTTACGAAAGGGAGCATTTATAGGCGAGACGCCCTGCACTCCCCAGGTGTCCATCTCCGCACCCCGGCGCGCCCGCGAAGGCGCTCCGAACGCCCCGCAGGCAGCGCAGGGCGGCGGACTCGGGGTCCGGCCCAGACGCCCGGCCCCCGCCCCGGCCCCGGCCCCGGCCCGGGAGGCTCCCAGTAGATTTCGGGGAGGGGGCTGCGCTCCATTGTTCGCTCCGGCCAATCAGGTCGCCCCTTTCCCTGCAGCCAATCCCGGGCCACCCCCGCCTCCCACCCGGGGCGCCCGCCCGCCCACCCGCGGCGGCGGGTCCCCACCGCCGCTGCCGCCGCCCCGCACCCTGGTTCTGGGGAGGCTGGTGACGCTGCAGGTCCCGCCCCCGCCCAGCCCGGCGACTGCGTGCTGACGTAATGCGGCGTGCGGGCCGGTGCGGTCGGTCCTGCGAGTCCGTGGGGCCCGAGTTAGTTAGCAAAGAGCCGGCGGGGCGCGCGACCCCGTCCTCCGCCCGGCGCACTCTCGGCACACGCGTCCGTCTGCATGGTGGATATCATTCTCCATTATCCTTTCCTGGGTGCCATGGGGGATCCTTGCAAGAGTAAGTCTTCTCCGGGCGTGGGTGCGGGTGGGTTTGTGCGGAACGTGCGCGGCTTCTGCTGCAGGAGAATGGGGCGCGGATTCTACAAGTGGCTTCTGTGGGACCGGGCGCGGGGCGGCGGGAAGCCGGGGTGCCTGCCCCGTCGGCGTCCTGCTGCTCTAACTCATAATTAAATCCTCTCTCCCCAGCCTGCGTGCGAGGCTGGGCTCGGGCTGCGAAATCGGCTTCTGTTTTGCGCTAAGGCGATTCGATGGGGTTCAGGGGTGCGGGGCTCTGGCCGGCCGGCCGGTCTCTCGGTTCTTCCAAGCAAGGGCTGTTTCTCCACCTTGACCTGGGACATTTAAACCGAGAAATGTCATCGAGGAGGCGAGCAGCCCGTGCGCACGCCGGCGGGTGGTCGGGGCTGCGGGCGCCGCCAGGGGAGGGAGGCGGGCGTCCCGCTCGGTGCGGACGCGGGGCGGCGGGGGGTCCGCAGGGCCTCAGGGTCCGTGAGCTCTCCGCTCGCCCACGACATCAGCGTCTAGCGAAGCACGAAACCGATAAAACGACTGCATCCAAATGAATGTTATTAAATTGTGTTTTTTTTTGGGGGGGGGGCGGGGAGGGAAGGCTTTACAAATCGTTTTTTGTTTTGTTTTTCGTTCCCAATTTTCCGGGCCTTTAGAAAGTCCGCCTCCTTCTCCTTGCCGGGCGGGCCAGGGCGGCCGAGGCGGGTCTGCAGCCGGGCCTGACTCGAGCCCTTCCCGGCAGAGAAGCCAGGCACAGCCACGTGCGTGGGCTGCGGGAGTCAGATCCACGACCAGTTCATCCTGCGGGTGTCCCCCGACCTCGAGTGGCACGCCGCCTGCCTCAAGTGCGCCGAGTGCAGCCAGTACCTGGACGAGACGTGCACGTGCTTCGTGAGAGACGGGAAAACCTACTGTAAACGGGACTATGTCAGGTGAGGCTTCGGGGACCCCGGGGACGCCGGGAGCCGGCCCTCGGGACGGAGGCCCCCGCCCCAGCGAGCGCGGCCCGCAGTCCCGAGGGCCGCTGACCGCCCGCCCCGCGTCCGCGTCCTCAGGCTGTTCGGCATCAAGTGCGCCAAGTGCCAGGTGGGCTTCAGCAGCAGCGATCTGGTGATGCGCGCGCGGGACAGCGTGTACCACGTCGAGTGCTTCCGCTGCTCCGTGTGCAGCCGCCAGCTGCTGCCCGGCGACGAGTTCTCGCTGCGGGAGCACGAGCTGCTGTGCCGCGCGGACCACGGCCTCCTGCTCGAGCGCGCGGGAGCCGGCAGCCCGCGGAGCCCAGGCCCGCTCCCGGCGCGCGGCTTACATCTGCCAGGTGAGCTGCGTCCGCGGGAGGCCGTGTGCGGAGACTGTCGCGCCGGGACTGGAAGCTGTCCCGTGTGCGTTTCTGGGCGGCTGCAGAGCTGCGTGCCAGGAACGCGGCTGGGTGTCCGTGCGGGGAAACCGTCTGTGGATTCCCGCGAGCCTGGATGTGTATATGAGCGCGCGCGCGCGTGTGGAGAACCCTGTTCTCCGTCGGGACACGTGGGCCACGGGGCTGGAAGCAGGAGAGGGGGCTGCTGGGCCGTGGACGAGGAGCGCCCGGCTGCGCCCAGCCTGCCAGGCGGCTCCGGAGGCCGACCACCCGACGCAGAGCGGACGCGTCTGTGTGTGTCTGTGTTTTCGGGCCCAGTTTGATGTACGACTTGGCGAAATGCTCACCGGTGGGGAGGGTGGGACCCCAGGACACCCCCGCGCCCGCAGGGGATGCTGTGGGTCCGGGTGAGGCCGAGGGCCTGTGCGGGACGCGTCCCCGGCCGCGGCGTCTGCGGGTGCGGGGTGGTCTGGCGCCGCGCCTCCCGTCCCTGCCCTCCTTTTCCTCCCCTTTACAACGACTCGCTCGGGCTGGACGAGCTGTTCGTAAATATTTGTCCGCAAATCTCTGGCGGGGAGGGGTGGAACACCCCGAGTCATTGCGGCAGGAACCCGCGGCCGTGCAGGCCCGGTGCGGACGCGGGTGTGAAGCAGGACGGGGCCGGGGCCGGGGCACTGCGGGCTCGGACCTCCCTTTTGCCTGTCGCGGGCCGCGGGCATCGGGGCCTGTCCACCCGGGTGGAGAGAACCCGAGGCCGGGCGAGGGCAATGCAGGCGAAGGCTGGGCGGGGAACCCTGGAGCCTTGAAGGAGGAGCCGCGCCCAGACCCGGTGTCCGCGGCCGGGCCCCTGTACGAGGGGGGAGCCTCCGGAGGGCCCCGGGGAGCGGCCGAGAAGCCCCCAAATTCGAGCAGCAGGGCGCCGGGGCTCCGCAGGACTCCCTTCCCTCCACAGCCAGACCCCGGGGGCGCCTCCATGCCGTTCCTGCGACACCCGCACTTCTTCCGGAGGGCGCCCCCTGTCCCCTGTCCCCGGCCGTTGGCGTCCCCGCGGGCACCCAAAAGTCTAGTGCGTGCGGGAGGCTCGGCCCGGCCTGCGGCGGCCACCTCTGCGCTCGGGGAGGTCGCTCCGCACTGCGGGTCGGGGACTCGGGAAGGGGCACCGCCTTCCGGGTGGGGCGAAGTGACGGAAGGGAGGCCAACGGTACAACGAAATCGCAGAATAAAACAGAAACGAAGCGGGGCGGAGGGCTCGGCGGGCGGGCGGGGCGCCGGGCCAGCCAACCAACCGAGTCTCCGCTCACCGCGCGCCCCTTCCGCGCAGAGCCCGGGCCCGGCCGGCAGCCCGCGCTGCGCCCGCACGTGCACAAGCAGGCGGAGAAGACGACTCGCGTGCGGACGGTGCTCAACGAGAAGCAACTGCACACGCTGCGGACCTGCTACGCCGCCAACCCGCGGCCCGACGCGCTCATGAAGGAGCAGCTGGTCGAGATGACCGGCCTGAGCCCGCGGGTCATCCGCGTCTGGTTCCAGAACAAGCGTTGCAAGGACAAGAAGAAATCCATCCTCATGAAGCAGCTGCAGCAGCAGCAGCACAACGACAAGACGGTGAGGGACCGTGGCCCGAGCGGCGGTGGGCTTGGGTGGAGGGGGGGCGGGGCTCGGGTTGGTGCCGCTTTTGAGCGCCCTGTGCTGGGCAGGCTCTGGGGGAGCGGGGGAACGGGACTCCCCGGAGGGCTTGTGCCTGTGCCCTCAGCGCAGCGCTTTCTGTGGAACTCAGGGCTCCTTAGCTGTTGTGTCTGAGCTGGGGTCTCCTTGCCCCCGCGGCCGACCTGAGTTGGGGTCGCTGGAGCTCAGGTCGGGCCGGTCGAGTTCCCCGCACCTGGCGAGGCTGCGTTCCCTTGGCCTGTGGCTCCCGGCACGGAGACCGGCCCGTGGTGGCGGGTTTGCGGGCCCGGGGTATCTTTGCAGGGGAAGGAGAGCTCCCCAACCTGGGTGCGGCAGCTCGCGCGTCTCCCCACAATCCGCTTCAGCCTGCAAATTGCGAGCCAGTGCCCGGGGCCTCGGTCTCAAAGGTGGCGGGAAACTCGGGACCTAACCGGAGCGCGCCCCGCCCCCCTACTTCTGCTTGTCCCGAAGAGCCTGCAGGGACTGACTGGGACGCCGCTGGTGGCCGGCAGCCCCATCCGCCACGAGAGCGCCGTACAGGGCAGCGCGGTCGAGGTGCAGACGTACCAGCCACCGTGGAAAACTCTCAGCGAGTTCGCGCTGCAGAGTGACCTGGACCAACCTGCCTTCCAGCAGCTGGTGAGGCCCCAGCCTGCGCGAGCCACCCCAGGACTCCGGCCTGGATTTAGCGATTTAGCCAGGGCCGGGTGGGGGTGGGGGTGGGGGCTTCCCGTGGGTGACCTGCTGGGACAGCCTGAGGCCGCCGGGTGGTTGGGGGGTGGGGGGAGGCTGCATCCGCACCTTGCTCCCCTGCGCGCAATTCGCTGCAAACCAGATCTCCCTGGATTAACGCGCTCACGGGAGAGGTCGAAGGAACGAACCCGCCCGCAAACCCCGCCCTAATACCCCTGAGTGCGCTTGGGGACCCGTCCGCCGTCTCCGGAGGGCTTGCTCCCAGCCTGCGGCGCGTCCCCAGGGGGCGTCCTACCCGGAGCCCCGGCCCGGACGCGTCCTCACCACCCCTACCTGGCGCCCCCAGGTCTCCTTCTCTGAGTCTGGCTCCCTGGGCAACTCCTCTGGCAGCGACGTGACCTCCCTGTCCTCGCAGCTCCCCGACACGCCCAACAGCATGGTGCCGAGTCCGGTGGAGACGTGAGGGGATCCCCAGCCCGCGGACCGCGCATGCTCCCTGCATGAGACTCGCCCGCGCTCAGGCCTTGCCCGCCGACAGCTCTCGCCTTTGTAATTGTTATTATTGTTATTTAAAGAGAAAGGACAGAGAGAAGCGTCAAGAGGGCCTCGGGCGCCAGGACGCACCGGCTTTCGCCAGGCTGGAGAACCCTGCTCGGAGGACTTGTATTTTCTCAGAACCAGAATTTGGGATTTACTAGCGTTAACCGGGCCCTCTCCTCTCCCCGCGTCCGCGGCCCCGCGGCCCCGGGGCTCCAGCGGGGAGAGGACGGGACAGCCGAGAGGAGCGGACCTCAACCCCCCCCAAAGCGCATGATTGCTGGAAAAAGTAGACACGAGACTTACCTTGAGCAATGTTTAACTTATCAGTCGACGGAGGACAGAGCGTGTGAGCCTTTGACGAACAGAACGTAAGTTATTGTTATTTATTGTAAGAACAGCCAGTTCATAGCGGGACGGATATTTTCATCTTAATAAAAAAAAATAAAGAATAACCGGATGCGAGGCTGCTCCTGTGTGCTGCCGGCGCCGCGGGTCGGGCCCGGCGCAGGCCTCGCGCCTCGCCGCCGCCGCCCCGCGTGTCCACGCGAGACCGCCCGGCAGGGATTGGGCGCCGCGCGCTGGGCGGCCCCGCGGGGATTGGATACGGTGCGCGGCTGGGCCCGGCGGGGATTGGACGGCGTGCGAGGGGCGGGGCTGCGTCCTTGCGCCCCGCCTGCGCCGTGCTGCGCGCGAGCACGCCCCCTGCGGCGCCCCTCGCCGACCAGAACCTGGTCCCAGGAGCGCGCGCGGCGGGCGGGGCCGCCCGTTCTGGCGGGAAGCTCAGTGGCCGCCGCGGGGCGCACTCGGGCCTGAGGTCAGGCTCGCGGGGGCGACTGCGCTTCCCGTAGCCCCCTCATTGGCTGGCTCGCCGGGGCCCTCCGGTGGGTGTGGGGCCCCCACGGGCTGGGCGCGCGGGGTGTCCTGGCCGCTGCTCGGGGGTCTCGCCGGCTATTAATTCTCGTCTAGACGGAGGACAGGCGCGCGGCGGCCCCTTATCTGCTCCGGCATCACCTGCAAGCGATACAGCGCGGGAGCCACAGGGCCCCGCCGGCCGCGAGTCCACCAGAACCAGTCTGGCGTGTCTTTGGTTTATTTTCTTTCCAGACCCGAATGCAGGGGCGGGGACGGCCCAGGTCACTCGGTGTGACATTTCAAACCCTGCCACTTGTTTTCTTGAAAACGGGCTTTAGAGGTCGCAGGAAATAACCGAGAGATACCGAATCTCCAGCAGCCCCGGGCAAGCACACAAAACGCAGGCTCAGGTTTTCCCCTTCAAACATTTAACCCTTCGGCAGCCTCGCTGCTGCGCGCGCGAATGCCGGCGCCCGGCCACCCCCACTGCTCTGGGAAGAGCCTCTCTCCGGGTTGAGGCTCCGTTTCCTTGTCCCTCAAGTTAAAGGACCCACAAGTAGGTCCTTATTCGCCAGGACTGGCTTTGGAAGGGGGCAACGCCCCGAGTCCTGTCGCCCTCTTAGGTCAGGTGACGAAAACTGTGCCCGAGGGGCACCTGGGGTCGCGGGGCGGAGGAGCAGATGCCTTCTGCTGAAAGCCCCGGGCTGCGTGGAGGGCCCGAGGCCACCGTAGGTTTTTCCGGCACAGCCGACGGCAGGATTCCGTCATCCCTGCTCCGTCCACCCCCACCCCCCAGCTCGCTGGAGATGGAAGGCTGAAAGACGGGCTGGCAATTAACTGAAAGAAAGTGGGGGGAGGTGTGGAGATGGGGCCACATTTCTGTTTTGCTTCCTGAAACTCAAGGTGATGCTAGCACGAAAATTAAAGAGCACATCCTCCTTCGGGATTCAGATAAGGGTGCTGCAAACTTACAGATAAGGGGAGAGATACGTAGGGTTAATGAGGACCAGCTTTACCTCTTCAGCATCCAGAAACGGTTTTAATAATCAGGGTTATTCTTTGAGGTTTCCTTCCCTTAACTTAGACCATTCCCTCCCAAACAGAAATATATGTATTTCCTTTTACCTTGTGGTTGGCTTAAACTGCCAACTAATCTTTAGAAAACTTTTGGTTTATGCCGAGTATTAGGTTTTGTCATTTAAAAAAAAAAAAGGAAAATGGGTTCTTGAATACAGAAGACTTTCACTAATGGTGGTTGTCAATGAGCTCCAATTTTTTGCGTTTGACAGATTACAGTAGTTTAATGTTTCAAGTGGAAGCATCCAGTTGCAGCCATCTCTTCATCATCCACAGATCAAAACGTGTAATTCCTTCTTTTGATACTTACTTGAGCGTGTCTGGTTCTGGGTGTTGGGAAGTGATGGAAGTGGTTGCCGGGCATTGGGATGGCTGCAGCTGCCTGTTTGACTGTATGGAGCAGCAGCAGCAGCTCCTCCCCCGGCCCCCCACACCCCACGCCCCAGTCTGCCAGCCCCGCGTAGGGACACAGCGTCTCCCACCCAGGTTCCGTGGGGGAGGTGTCAGGTCTGTGGTGGGTTAGTTACATTAATCAGTTTTAATGGTTCCCAGATCATCTTTATACATCCCCCGTAATACAGTAGGGATTTTCTTGCAAATTAGATTAGCTGTAACAATCGCAAGTGTTGTGTGTTATGTTTACTGCCCTGTGAAAGTGGTAGCCAATTGTGGAGTAAAAAGTTCAGCAGAAGAGGCCATGGGTGGGACATGGGAGCTAGTTATTTGACTAGATTAACTTTAGAAGGAGACATTGTATGAGTATTTAATAATTTGGATAGCTCTATGAAACTGAGGCCGTGAAGGGATTCCCTGAGATAGAAAAGATTACACCACCAAATCTAATACACAGTGAAAGGCTGCCTACTTCTGGGAAATGCGGAGTCCCGGTGCCAGTATCTCCAACCAAGTTTAGTATTTAACGGACTGCAGGACAGAAATCAGCTTTTCAGTTTTGAATATGGAACAGCTTAAAGCCCAGTTTTCTCAGAACTGCAAATATTGGGTTAAAGCGAGACATTGTCTAAAAAGTGTTCTCTAGAAAACGAGAGATTCTGCTAGTGCCGCTCTGGGGGAGGGGCCAGTATCCCCCCACATCGAGTTGGCTCTTTTCCCCGTGAAAGAGCACGAGAGGAGGATAAGCTGAATAGCAGTGGGCCGGGGAGAGGAAACAATGAATGAGCAATAAACGATTTGCAGAGAAGTTGCAATGGAGTTGATAAAAGCAGGAAATTCACAGTTTATTAAACGGATGGAGGGAAGATTAGAAGCTTTTACGTGCAGGTCTGATTGATGTGAAGGGAACCTTTCTTCGAGGTGCAGATTCGATGCCATGGGGGCTGTGTAAGCGGGTCCAGACCCCCACCTCGTTGACAGAGGCTGTGCGTGGGGCCGGGGATACCTGGAGCGAGCTGGGAGCGGGAGAGGGACGTGCTCAGGGACTGACTCCCTTGGGATCCCCGTGTGGGTCTGGGCGGGGAACAGCCCCAGGTAAAAAGCGCGTTTCCGGCCCCGCAGCAATCGCGTCAGAAAGGAGGGGGCGGCAGGTGAGTCGGGCCTCGGGACCAGGGCACCTGCTGCTGGCGAGGCAGGTCGGCCGCTGGCCCGAGAGCGCGGTCCGGGAACGAGCCGGGCGCCGAGGGTGGGCGCTTGGGGACCGAAGGCAGGAGGTTCCCCGCGCTGGGGCGCGGGGACAGGGAGAGGGAAGGGGAAGAACACGCGCGGTGGGAGTAATCCCTGCCAGGTTACTGAGACCCAAGGGTCTGGCGCTGGCCGGGAGCTCCGGAGAAAACTTCCCGCGGTGCTGCAGCTGGGCCGGGAGGGAAAGGCGGCCGGGGGGTCCGGGCCCGGTTCAGGGGGCGGCGGGCTCGGACGCAGCGGCCGGGGAGGGAGGGAGGCGCGCCCGACAGCTCTCGGGAGCGGGTGCCGGCCCCGTCCGCCTGGGCGGCCCCCAGCGGCAAAACCATCGGCTCCCACTTGCACTCGCGAGTGTGGACGGTTTCTGGGACGGGGATCACCGCTGACTCCCTCAGTTACGGCTTTTAGGCAAGTTTCCGACCAGAAAAGCTTATTTTATTGAGAAGCGCCTCGGAGCGAATCTTGCAAATACCTGATGTTTCCTCCCCGCGCCTGCAAGTGCGGTCGGTGCAGGACGAGGGTCCCCTTCTGCTCGGGGTGTAGAGCGGGGCTCGCGCGGTCTCCCGACCTGCAAACCGGCAAACCCCCCGCGCGCAGGAGGGGGCTTCCATGGGAAGGAGCGTCGGGAGGTGGGCTTGCTTCGGGAAAACGGAAGAAAACCCTCTTTTCTAGCCTCCCGGCCCCGGCCTCGAATCTGATACATATTCGGAACAATTTTTTTCCCCAGCCAGATCTTTGTTCTTGGTCATGTTTGATCCTTATCCGACAGGAGAGATTACCGATGTCACTCAGTGACCGGCTTAGCGTTTCCCGCCCGCCGCCAGCCTCCCCGGCAGCAGAGGCGAGAACAGGGCGGGCCAGGCCGGCGTCCCGGTTCTCTCGGAGAACACTGCAGGGTGGCTCCCGGGGGCTGATCTTTTCGGACCTGGACTTTTTCCCGGAGAATAACCTCAACCTGCAGGTGGGGCAGCAGGGGCTGTGCCCTGTGCGCGATGGAAGTTTGGGCAGGTGGATGATCAAGGCTCTAAACTCTTTTCAGATAGCCCGAAAAACACGTGTGATGAGAATGTAAAAGTGTTAAGAAAGTGTCTTTGCTCCAGATCTTAAAGAGGGAAATCCAGAACTAGGTAGCTTTTAAGTCTTTAATTAAGTTACTTCCGGGGCTGGGGTTAGCATTCTCCTTTCAAATTCGTATTGCCTTAACAAGAAAAGTCACCATTGCAAACAGAATAAGTTATTTTATTACAAGAACAAAACAGACTTGCTAATTTTGTGTCTAATTTCACACATATTACAAATGCAAAGTATGTAAGGTTGAAGTTACCAAACTGCAAAATACGGTGCATAAATGAAATAAAC